CATACATACATACAGTACATGGTTCCAGCACTCAAATACCTTTGCTACTTATCATTAAAGACCAATAAGAAACAATAAAATATCGCTTTTCTGACATGTATCTCCCACACCTGTTTTTTCATCAGAAGACAGAATATTCCTCTCTTCATCCCTTCCTGTTTCTTTCAGTAGTTCTGAGAGGATGGCCTGTGCGATGGGGACCATCATGGCAGTTGTTGCGGTGTTGCTGATCCACATGGACAGGAACGCTGTGGCTGACATCATTCCTAACATCAACCTGGAGGAAAAAAACAAAATCCTTAAAACTGCCCGCTGATATTCTCTGAGACCTTAGCTTATTTCACTAATAATTATTTGACCATAATCACTTATACATGTATTAGTATACAAACAAGAAATTGGAGCTTTCAGACTTTCAGGAAGTACTAGTATGCAATTCTCCGCTTCCAGCCTTCCTGCATTCCCCCAGGAAGTCTCATTCCTATTTTTTCTCCACCCAGATCCTGAAGATACCTTGGACTTCCTGTCATTCTGCCTATCAATCTTCCCACCCATGTGCTGTCAACCTACTCTGTCCATACAAACAGATAGATTGAACCACATATATATAGCTCAGGCACCAAAAACAAGATCTAGCTGTACCAACTTCCAGCATGATATAGCTAGCCATCTGAATCTGAGTGCAAACAGCCTACTATAGCAAGAGGAAAACATGTATTGAGTGGAGCTCACCATCTTGGCTCTGAACCCACAGTCAGAAGCACCCTCAGTGCTATCCTCTTATGGAGGTTCCACCGTTCTATGGCCACAGCAACCAGCAGCCCTCCAACAAACAGGAAATTGTTGTCCTGTGGATACATTTGTTAGTTACATTCGTAGCTTTCATACACATAATACTAGTAAACAACAAAATCTGCCACCTTTGAGTCGAGTCTATCAGTATACATAGTTCTCACTAGGCTGTTTGAGCGTAGGGGCCCCCTACGCTGTGACTTGGACCCCCTACGCTGTAATTTAGCCCCCTACACTGTGTTTCAACCAGTGTAGGGGTGGTTTTGGGGGGCAGAAGCTTCATTAATCTTTAAAAAAATGAAAATATAACTTAAGAATGAAGCTATAACAGAGGGAAAACAAAATCTGTCCCCCAATAAACAATAAATACTGTCTTAAGTGGTTAATATGAGTTACAAAATTTTGGGGGGAGAATATCAGGCCCATGTTTTGGGGACTCGGTGCGTGACTCGCGCCGCAGAAAGTTGCCCTTCTATACCTGACCCCTACGCTGTGAAAAAATCCTGGTGAGAACCCTGAGTATACAGTAACAAAAAAAAAGAAAATTTTACGGCTCTTGGTGGCAAATGTCGACACATTGGTGAACCAAATCCGTAGTGTGCTTTTGGCACACAAGTAGACAGATTAGCCTAACAGGCTCAGTGGGCGTCACTCCACCATCAGGGAAAGGAAGGCAGTGTAAAGTACCTTTCCTAAGGGCACAACGTCAGGACATGGTGAGTTACTCAGTATCGAACAACCCACCACCTATTGCTTCCGAGTCCAACACTCTAATCGCTGCGCCACCGACGCCACTGACACAGTACAGTGACAAGAAATCAATAACATTCTACACACCCTTAAGTAGTTGATGCAGACATCCTTTGATGGCTGGACTCCCAGCATGGGAAACAGAATGATGGGAAGAAGGGCTGTGACAGCTAACGGTAGAACTTCTGTGGTCCAGTACACCGCCATGATGATCACAGCATAGGCACAGGCTGCAATCTAAAGCAGTAAGGATGCATATTAATATTAGAATACTGTATCATGTACATGTATGCCAAACTGACTTGGCTGATGGCTATTTTATAGACCACTATACTTAAATAATACGGATGGTGGGGAAGGGGGTTGGGTCAGGGGGTCTAGAGAGAGGGATCCAATATTAATAAATAGCCAAGATTTTCACCTTCAATATACATGTATCTTACATTAAGTTGGGAGCACTGTAAGTTCTTACATGGAGGTAGAAAAAAAACTTTTTTCTACCTCCATGCCATGGTTCTTACTATGTCTACACAACTTTAATTTGTACATGTACCATGTGGGCATGTCACAATCTCTCCCTAGGACATTATGCACAAAAAGTGGTTGGACGTTAGAAATTGCAAAGCGTCATCCCATAAAGTTACATACATAACAAGCATGTTAATTAAGTTTTATCACATATTCTTTTTCCAATAAATTTTTTTAAGGTTATACTGTAACAAAATTATGTTTTAGTAAATAACTTGGTATATATCATACATGTAGTGAAACTTGTGAGTACTAAGTAGTTGTGTACAAGTACATGTAAAGTTATGCAGAGCCACACTGAGGAATGCCTGATTGACATATGACCCCTGATGATATGTCTCACAGGGCTGTCAACATAATCTCAAAGCAGATTCGGTGGGGCAAGGGGACTTTATATTGGCCAGTCCTGTATCCATTGGC